CCCAAAGTTGCACTTAGAGTAATTACTAAGATGAGTGAGCTAATTAAAGTTTTAGCTTTAGCAATTCATATTATATGTACAGCTTACAATTGTTTAATAAAGCACACATAACTAGCCTAATAGAGGGTTTAAAAAAAATAGATTTATTGTTTTGATATATATTTACTGTATATTAAGACTGTCTTATATTTAGAAAACTTTGATATTCTTTTTGATCTTGAAATAATTGAAGCAACTTAATTTATCAAGTAGATTTAGTTATTTTTAAGATTTCTTGCAGTAAGAAAAAGGTGTTAACCTGTACTGGCTTGACTATAAGATGTGTGAAGTTGATATTGACTTTCTTATTTTAATTGTGAATCAGGTTTCAGTTATTTTTTCTTTCTTCTAAAAATTTTAAGAAAAAAATATATAGAAAACTATTAATAAAATTATTTATATCTCTATTCTTGATATCTCCAAATAGTTTTATTATAAGTTTGTTATATTAATTTTAAAAATATGTTATTCTCTTTTATATATTTGAATCATTTCACTTTTTTCAATTAAATTATCATAAAAATTTTTTTGAAAAAAGAAAATCAATAGAAAGAATTATTTTAATAATCTATTTTTATAATTATTAAAATATTGTAATATATTATATATATATTATTGATAATTAATATTCGTTTTATAATTAATAAAATTATATTTGAAAATTGAAAGCTATTTATAAATGAGTTGACATGAGATTTAGTTTAGCTATAATATAATTGTTCAATGTATCTTCATCAGTTTTTTTAAAGATTAGTAAGTATAATAAGTTGGTTTGATCACAGGTTTAAAAAACATATATAGTATATATAATTAATAAAATTATATTAATAAAAATTAATAAAATTGGAATAAATAATTGATATACAATTATATTTTTAATTTAATTTAACTTACTAAAATATTTATATAACTTCAAGATTTTCTATATTAATTTAAAAACTTTTGTAATAGACTATAAATATATATGCATTATACATTATTAATATATTATATAATTTATTAAAAATTGAACCAAGAAATTTTTAATTTACAGTTTGATCCAAAAAAAACCAGAATTTTTTTTTTTAAAAAAAATCTCTATAAATCATGCAGTTGTCATCCAATTAAAAAATTTTTTTATAAAAAAAGGAAATTAAAGATTGTGTATTATATTACCAGTTGATATTTTCTCAATCTTTAGTTAGTTTTGCAGGAAGAAAATATTGAATATAAGTCAAAAGAAAAAAATGTCAATGTAAAATTCTATTACAATTGTGGGATGATGGTATATAGGATACAAAAAATATGTATACACTTGCAAAGTTTTCTCTTTTAACTATCTATTAAAATTTAAAAAAGCTTAAAAAAGTTAGTTCTAATAAGCATTCAGATAGAAATGGCTGGTCAAAAAAGATTGATGAAGTTTCTTCACAAATACTTGGGTGGTACATTTATAGGGATAATTTACTATTGACAAGGGCACACAACCAATTCATTATATATTGAAAAGTCAGATTAAGATTTTAGCTTGAAAAGAGTTTTATATTAGAGAAAAATCAACCATATTTTTTTTCAACAGATCATAAATGCTAGTTTTTATATGACAATTATTTGGAAACATATTTCAAAGATTAAAAAAATATTTGGTAATGAGTAGTGCTTCCAGTAAGATAATGACTTGAAGCATACGAGTTGCTTGGCAAAAGCTTTTATTAGTAAAAATATGTCAGACATTATTGACTGGCCATCAAATAGTTCTAATTTAAATCCTATAGAAAACCTATGGAGATCGTCAAGGGCAACATGAAGAAATATATGTCAAAAAATCAGGATAAGTTGGAATAGTATATGGGTGAAGAATGGAAAAAAATATCAAAATTTGCTCTAATAGAATTGGATTAATCAATAAGAAGATATTGTAAACTAATTATAAAAAATAAAGAGAAGTATATCTCATATTAAACTTTATTTTTTAAAAATACATTTACTAAACTATATATAAATAAAAGCTCATATAATTCCATATGACCATTATTGTATAATAAAAAAAATCAAATTCTAGTTTTTTTTGGACCAGACTGTAAATTTAAATAAAAAACCTTTTCAATTAAAATTTTAATTTTTAAGAAGTTGTTAAGCCAGAAAATTGATATATAAATTCAATTGATGTCTATAATGCTTGATTGAATTTTTTTTTTTTTTTGAAAATAAAACTTGAATATATTTAAACAAATTAAACTTGATGCGAATTAATCTATTCATATAAAATTTTTTTAATCTTTTGTCAAATCTATTAAATTCAAATGTGTCTTATACAATATATTAATAGTTTTAAGTATCATAGTGAACTTTATAACATTCACCTGGATTTTATATTAACTAATCTAAAAAAAAAATTCATAAATTTTTAAATCCACTTAATTTTCAGAAACGATACTCTATTTCTATCAAAAACTCCAAAATCCAAAATGATTGAATCAATATACAAAGCACAATAATTAAATGGGTCGCATATACGGTATCTATTACTGCATGTAGAATATGACCTCTGATTTCTAATGATACATTTCAGTGGTAATCTAATACCCTGGCTATAGTAACTAATTTTTTTATCCCTTTATCATTATAATTAATTTGTTTTTCATTAATTTAAATGATTCGGCATAATAAATTTTTAACCTGAAATGCAAAAATTAGCAATTTTGTAGTAACAACTCTACCCTTCTACTTGGGAAATTACAAGGAATAAATTTTTGGCAGAATGATCAAGGTGTGTGCTGTGAGATCATTCTAACAAAATAAGACATCCAAGGAACCCCAAGGACGCGAAAGAGATGTTCGATTGATCTCTTGATTCCACTTGTAATACCTTCCAACCACCTCATCTAACCTAACAACAGATAGGCTTTGCGCCCTTTCCATTTTTTTTAGCACCAACACATCGTCCTTTTCGGCAACTGCATAATATTGATATTTATCTCCAGTCATCTCGATTCGATTTCGTCGCTTAAAATAATAAAAATAATGAACCTTAAATAACACGACGTTCCTTTTTTCGGAATCTTCGGCTTCTTCCGAGTCAAGTCGAAGAATGTCACCCTCGTGTAATACCTCTGGACCAAACATTATTTTCTTGAAATGTTTGGATAGACCAATTTCTTGCGTATAGTCTATGTCAGAGATGTAATTTCTTTGTGCAGGAGGTAGTGAAAATGGGTAGTAAGGGTCAATTGCATAGCACATCGCAGATCTTGCTTTCACAGAATCCAAAGACTGAATAAAATTTGACACAAGATCATTATCATGCATAGAATCCTCAACTTTACGCTGAAATTGAGTCGGATCGAGCGCTCGCCACGGAAGGATGTCTTTTTGCCTCAAAGTTTTTTGGTAATTCAATGCGCATATCGTCACTTCGTAGAAGATGAACCTGCTATCTGCATTTCGCTCATGGTTTCTTATGAATGCCGGCCAATGAGTTATGCGAAGATCATTTAGGAATTTTGTGCGCTTGCTCTGCCGGTCCCATAAGCGCTCAATGTTTACCCACACGAATTCACTGTGTTTATATATCTTCTCATGATCCTTAGACTCTTGACAAATGTCAAGGCACAAGAGTGAATAACCAGAGTCTAACTTTTTCAACAGACGCTTTTCAATACGTTCCAATCTCGCTTGTGTTATTTCATCTCGATCGCTCAATGTGCTCGAAGATAACTCGGCCTCGTCGCTAGATTCTTTGTCTGAAAAATCATGCTTGTTTTTGGGGTACAAGTGACGCCCAGAACTTTCGTTATCTAAGGATAAGTTCGAGAATGCACATATCTCTTCAATATCTGATTCAAGGTGGGATGTATCAGTATCCTTTTCCCCTGATGAGTCTGAAGTATCGGAGCTATGCTTATCAGTCATAGACACGTCGAAACTATCCTCGGGAGAAGCCGGTACATTATCATTTTCAGTGTCGGTGCGCATGGGCATAGAAGTGGAGCCATTTTTGTCGTGTGATGTAGTTCGGGATTTGTGACCTGTTGAACCCTTACCTCTCTTTGGTATGCAATATTTGCAGCAACATGGGATGGATTTGTCGGACGCAAGCCACAAAAGATGTTCTTCGAATTCATGTGGCGAGCAGAATTTTTTGAGACCGGTGCTACCTACAGATAAATTTTGGCCAAGTCGTTAAGCGCGGGCTAATGTGAACGATCGAGTTGATCAATGTAAAACTTGCCAAATAGATAAGTGTCGCGTCTAATCACACCCTTCTTACCCTCACGAACTCGATCAAATAATGCATATCCTTGTGGCAGCGATGCCAATTTTCCTATTTATAAATATATACGTATTTTTTTTTATTTTTTTTTTAGCGCGCTTCATATGAATGGTAACAGTTAGATTAACCTACGATTTCTAATTTTCTTATTAAGTTCTTCTTCCAATGCCCTTGCCAAAAACTCACCAACCTTCGTGGCGTAAAGATTGTACTTCTTCTCATTCTTGTTAACGCGCTGATAGTAAACTTTGTATCCGTTATGATCACTGATTGGGGAAGTGGATGGCCACAGTGACGAATCCGCATCTGTGCACGTAACGGTAAGGCCCCGGTCATCGGAAATTATGACGCTAGGAAATGCTCGTTTATTCTTTCTGGCGGCTTTAAGTCTTTGCATATTTTTCAACCGTGAGGAGAGATAGAGATATAAAGGTGACACATGTTAGATGGCAACAAATTAATATGCAAATTGTTTATGTTGGCTTACAAATTGATTGCTTGATTTCAAAGTTTCTTTAAACTCTTTATCAGTCATTGCATTACATTATCGTCGCTTTTTATAAAGTAGCCCGGCACTTTAACATTACGTAAAAACATGTAAATGTAAATATCACATGATGTGTCGATCACATGATAAATATCAAAACAAGACGCAAAAAAAACTCGAGCTGCCAATTTTGTCAAAACAAAAAAAAAAATGGGAGTAAAAACTGCCAATCGATCGACGATTTATCTCAAAGGTTCTACAAAAATTATTGTGGAATTCTTTGGTATGTGTGTCACTCTGAGTAAAGCCTTTTCTTTTTATTCTCACACGCCTTATTAATTCTTCTGCAAAAAATCCAATTTAAACGATAGAGTTCGCTATTAACAGGTATGTCCTGCACATCAAACTGGGAAATCGTCGCCTTATTCATATATTAATTTGCCGATATTAATTTCACATTGCCCTAAAACAGTATCTTGTACCAAAGAGGCATTTACTTCTCGGAAGATTTTAAATTCGTCAAAAAATATGGAGTCACCTTAGTAATGACAATCGACGATTCGTTAAAACTATACTTGAAAAGACTCTTACCCCAAGTTGAATGTAACGATTGTTATTTTTCCTGATCTTAGAACTTTTTTTTTTCTTTCCTCCATTACAAGACTTACCAAGTCGATCATGCATGCTTGTAGCTTGGTTGATGGCAGGAAAAATTCAAAAACTCGTGTTGGCCATTCTAGACCTGGACTCTCGTGAAACGCTTGAAAGATGGCAATTCGACATACAAGTCATTGATGACAACGATTCCTCAAAGTAAGGGAATTGCAGTTCTTTAAACGCTACTCTTGTTACTAATAATCATCCAAAATGAATAAAATCTACGCATCTCTTACAGAGGTGGTGCACCGGCGAAGAAAAAGGAAAAATCCGAAAAACAGATTCAAACTGAAATCCGTGAAATCATTCGTCAAATCACGTCGAGCATCACATTCTTACCAACATTAACCGACAAATGCAAGCGTTTCTCGTAATTTATGCTCACATTGTTTTTCATCTGTTGAACTTCTAAAATGTCTGATCCGAATGCGCACCAATCAATTATTAATTAGGCACCTTTAATATTTTGGCATATACCGATCAAGATGCTGAGGTATCAGTCGAATGGGGCGACTCCGATCCTCATATGATTGAAAATGCTGAACAAGTACGCCTCAGGTCCTTTTCGACGAACTATCACCGAGTTGACGCGATGGTTTCGTACAAGTTGGGTGAAGACGTGTGAACGACTAGCTGTACACGTGAAATAGCTTTTCATTCGCGAATGCTCTCATTCACAGACAAATCTTACTTTTGAGTCTTTGATTTTTCAATATCAATATTACTCGCGGTCAAATCATATTTAATTAAGCTTTTACAGTTTTGACATCGAATAAATTTATTTGTCTTTACCAATATACTGTATATACTGTATATCATGGTTAAACGAGTTAACATCACATCATGTAAAGCTTATTTCATCGTGTCAGATAAACTGATCACGAAATATCGCATGTACAGACAACTTATTATGCTGATCAAATCGATCGGCGGATGAACATGAAATCACTTTCTCACTTTTCCCACTTTTCACGCACCAACATTCTTTTTCGCTCGGAAAAGGTGGG